TTCTTGACCTCCAAAATATTTGAAGGTACTCGTGTTGTATACATCTCTACCTACTTCATCGTAATACTCAGTCCTGTTGCTTTCTGCTTATTCTTCAGTTTCCGGACAAGCAAACTCCCAACCTTCTGATTGTTTCAGGTATGCGTAAGGAAAGCAAGCAGCAGTAAGATACTAATATCAGCTTTTGGCAGTTAAGCCTCATATTGTTTACCTGATAACCTCAATGATTCTCAGTTAAGATTTTTTGTTTTTTCAGTTAAGATATTTTTGATAGGAAAGCCTTCCCCTGAATTAATTCTGCCTATAAAGAGGGAAAATGAGTCTGTAGCTGCCAGTCACTATTGTTACAAACCTTCCCAACACTCTTTCTTATGTTAATCCTCCAGCTAAAAATGTCCTATTCACTCAGTGAACAATGGCAACTTCCACTCTAGAGAAGGAAAGGATCCAAGACCAATGCTTGAGATCTGTTAACCGGGAGACTTCCATTTCTAGAGTGTGAAAATCTGTAGTTATTTGGTTTAACTAATTTTCCCAGAAGATCCAAAGGTTATTTTATGAATAACTAGGTACTAAATAAATAAACTAAGAGAACCAAAGAGAGATTCTGAGGAAATCACTTATGGGTAAACTGAAATCAGAAAATGGAGGTGTCATTCACTCTAAAAGCTACCCCTTTCTACGCACTGAAATGACCGTTAGAATTATCATTATCACTGCTTCTGAGGAAGACATAAGAAAAAATAGGATGGGAGAAAAGACAGAGAGAAACTGACTATAGAATGCAAAGAGAAGGAAATGTGATTTTGAACACTTACCACCCTAAGCCTTTGTTTCCTGTCTGCGTTACCCTTCCCATATTGCCTGATTAACTCCTACTGATCTTTTTTCTTTTTTTTTTTAGATTTTATTTATTTATTTGACAGACAGAGATCACAAGTAGGCAGAAAGGCAGGCAGAGAGAGAGGAGGAAGCAGGCTTCCCGCGAAGCAGAGAGCCTGACGCAGTGCCCAATCCCAGGACCCTGGGATCATGACCTGAGCGGAAGGCAGAGTCCTCAACCCACTGAGCCACCCAAGCGCCCCTCCTACTGATCTTTTAAGTCACAGTGGATGTTGCCACACTGGGAACATAACCTCAATGCCCACGTACCCCCATCATAGACTAAGCTACATGTTACTCTGCTATAAAATAATACAGGTATAATATTCTGTCTTATAGCACTTACTACATTCTTTTGAAACTAATGTTGGAGGATTAGGAAATAGAGGGAAACACTCTTTCCATATTTTGTGTTCTCCAAGCTCTACAGTGAAATGACCATCTGTTCACTAAATTATGGTCTGCTGGAAGAAAAGTACCATTGTTTTCAGAAAATATAACTATTTAGGATTGAGTAAATAAAAAATAGCATATGAAATACCTTGGAATCACTAAAAAGCATAAGGCAACACTGTATGTGCTGATATGGAAAGATCACAATATATTAAGTGGAAAAAGTAAGGAAATGAACTGTTTATCTTTTGGTTCCCTAAAATATAAGAATATGAAGCATATACCTATGTGTATACATTTTCTTTTCTAGAAAATTACATAAGAAACCAAAAATATGGGTTGGGAGACTTTATTTTCATTTTTAATATCTTTCTATATTATTTGAATTTTCTATTCTAAACGATTTCTTGCAAATTAAATTACTTACAGGGACTATCTGGTTCCTAGGATTAAGAGCTACTTTTTTTATCCCTTGAGGGTGAAGATGATATCTCATACATTTTAATATCATCACTGCTTAGCACAGTATGGAACATTGCTGGCATTCAATGAGTGCTGAACTGAACTGAACTCTGCTTGGCATCTATTTGAGTTTTTTTACTTCTTTCCCAAAGTACTGACTTTTTATGAGGCCCTCCCAATCTCTCTCTATTAGTCTACAGTGTCAAGTTCCATGCCTTGAACATAGTAGCTAGTCAAGAAATGTTTATTCAATTATATTTTCTCCTACCAGTATGATATGCAGCTGCCAATACAGCAATAGTGAACTTTTTTCTGTTGCTTGTCACTTGTCCTTGATTATCTATTCAACATAATTATACAAATATTGATCTCCATGTATCAGGTTTGAGGCAATGTGCTTAGTTCTGAAGATACAAAAGTGAATAAAAACCAGTTTCTACACTCTAAAGACCCATATATATATCAGATTTTCCCATGGCAAGAAAGAAGTGGGAGTGACTGAAGATGTAGATTCACCTATCTTCCCTCCTACCTATCTTCCCTCCCTATCTTCCAGATTCTTCCCTATCTTCCCTCCCCTTCCAGATTCTTCAAAGGCCTCTCCACTGAACATGCCCTTTGCAAATATATTGTTCATTTTAATTCAAATACATAGTCAATAAATACTTGTCAACAGTTTAATGCAATGATCTCTTAGAAAAGGTACTGGGGCACCTGGGCAGCTCAGTCAGTTGGGCAGCCAACTCTCAACTTCACCTCAGGTCATGATCTTGGAGTCTTGGGATTGAGCCAGTGTTGGGGTCCACACTCAGCAGAAAGTCTGCTTGAGGATTCTCTCTCCCCCCACTCCGCCCCTCCCTTCGCTCACACATGCTTGTGTGCATATTCTCTCTAAAATAAATAAATAAATCATAAAAAAAAAAATACCTAAAGGCTGATGTAAAATTGATTGGCAAAGAAGTAACTAATCATTCTCTTAATTTTTTTTCTACTCTAGCAAGCAGCTTTTACCAAGCCCTTTAGACATGAGATGAAAAACGTACCAATGGTACTTCCTGGTTGCCATAAAATAATGAGTCAGTTAAATCTGAATTTCTTTACATGTTCTACAAAAACCAGATAGAGAATAAAATTACTCATAAGCTGTAATTATACTACAAATTTTGATTTAAATATAAGTTAGTAAATAAACATCCTAAACTAGCAGAACCAGCTGAGAGATCACTCCAGAGGGAGAATCAGGTGGGGAAAAATGGGTGTGACAGAGAGCAAAGTACAAAGCCAAAAAAGAGGATCTCATCCATGGTGGGAAATATTGAGGCTAGGTCTGAGACGTGATGATACAGAGCAATGGCTGCAAAGGCCCAGAAGGACCAGAGATAGCAGTCCTAAAAGGGTACTGCCTGAAGAGGAGGAGGTCCTTTGGAAGGGGAAGGCATCTCTGGGGGAATGACGATGATAAAATGAAAGAAGGAAGAAGAGAGCTGAAATTAAAGGTCTTATACTATAGAACAATACTTATGAACTGAAGAATACACCAGGCATCTATACCTGTCCTAAATGAGCCAATTATTTAAAAAAAAGAAAATGACAACAACAAAAATATTTAATTGTACCTACAGAACAGGAAGCTGCTGAACTAAGAACCAAACCTCCCCTATATAAAATCTTATGTTATTGCTGATGCAGGAAAACACTATTCATTTAATATTTTAAGAGCTGTACAACTGTGATTGTTTTGAAGGTCATTCTTCATTTCTTTTAGGAAAGACAGGAAATAAGACTGTACAATAATGTAAATATTTGTGTATATACTTTGCTATACTTTTTTTCTATTTAAGGTTCACTTTTTTCCCCAAATGTTTATGTTGAAAATTTCTTCACTCAGAGAAAAGTCAGAAATAATGGCATAAAAAAAGATATAAATATTCTCCATGTAAATCGAACTGTGGTTAACTTTTTGCCAATTTGCTTTCTCTCACTTGTGTATTTCTATATCTTCACAACTTTTGTGAACCTTTTCCTAAAAGATACTTTTTAAGACACATAAAAGAATTCAAAGTCAATTAACTTTTATTTCACAAAAAAAATCTTTGTCAGTTTTAAGAATAATTTCTGTTTCATCCAGTCAAATTTCAGTAGAATTATACAATCAAATTTTTTGTTTCTTGGATATGGCTAATTGAAAAATAATTAAAATTTCATATTCACCTGGCTTTTAAAACTGAGAAGAGCATACAATACCATCCATATACACACATCTTCCTGATGTAAAAATTCTTAGCAAGGGACAGTGGATGTTGATAAAGACTTCAGTATACTAATAGAAAAGAGAACTGCTAATGTTAATAGCCTAAATAACCATCTAATCTGAACCAGTGGTTTTGAAAGCATATCTCATGGAGAGATAGAACATATAAAATGGATCAGACAAAGGAGTTTCAGGTGTTGCTCTGGATGAAGGGCTATGAGATGTTTCAAGTCCTACCAAAGTACTCTGTACTTTATTCCTCAGGTACCTTCTCAGTCCAGGGAGTAGTCTGAATACTATTTTGATGTAACTGTGCAGTTATGCAGATTTTTTTTCAAGATTTTATTTATTTGAAATAGAGAGAGAGAGATCACAAGTAGGCAGAGAGACAGCCAGAGGGGCTGGGGGAAGCAGGCTCCCCACTGAGCAGAGAGCCCAATGCAGGGCTCAATCCCAGGACCCTAAGATCATGACCTGAGCCGAAGGCAGACGCTTAACCCACTGAGCCACCCAGGTGCCCTAATCATACAGATTTTTAAAATTGGAGTATGCTGACTCTTCAAAATACAGTAAGGAACTTTTTTTTTTTTAGAGATATCAATATAACGTACAAAACAGAGGCTTTAGAAATGAAAGCAAACTTTGCAACTATATATTCATCTCAAAATAACTTAGCTTTACTATTTAAGTAAATGAATATCATACAAGTATCTTTAAACAGAAGTTGTCTAAAACGTACCACATAAAATCTTTAAATATTTGCAGTTTTTAGCATTCATTAATGCTAATGTTTCTTTCTGTTTCTTTATGAACAAAGAAAATACAATAAAACACATAATGTGATAGCATATCAAATTTCATTTGATGTAACATTAAAATCACAAGAATATTAGATCCGGTATTCTCTCAAATGTTAATTCAAAATGTTACTGTCAACAATAAAAAAAGGAGAGATAGAACATAGCTGTTATGCTCAAATAAATATAATTAAGAGATATGGAAAACTCTGTACCTTTATGTGGGTTTTCAAACTCTTCAGATAAGAGGTGGTAGCAACAGCCCACACTGCAAACTCCCCTGATTTCAGATTTGGCAGTAAATATTCGCAGAGTGTTTGCAGCAAGATCACCACAAGTATGCAGACCTACCATCAAACAATCCTTTAAAAATGAGAAGAAAAAATACATTTTGGCAATTAAAAAAGGAAGGCTATAAAAACATTCCAGGTGAAGTTTCTAAATGTTCATTAGAATACACGGAGTTTTAAGAAATGATCAAATTCTACCTAGAAAGTAGTATATGTTTATTTTAAATGAATAATTATTTCCTTTATAGGCAAAATGACTGTGATTTTTTATCACAACTAACATACTTTTGAGTTGATTTTCTAATGTTTTTGGTTACTTAACCATTTGAATTTTCTCTGATCTCTTTTACATCTAATACTTGCTTAACAACTAGCCAAATTAAAGACTGGACAATCAAACAAAGCGTGTCTTACGAGGACAAGCTTGTGATCTGAGACACATTTATAGCTTCAAGTCAATATTTTTATTTACTTCTTTAAAAACTGCCTGCCAAAACTTTAAAAATGCTGTCATAAAGAATAAATGCTGCTGGGGTGCCTGGGTGGTTCAGTGGGTTAAAGCCTCTGCCTTCGGCTCAGGTCATGATCCCAGGGTCCTGGAATCGAGCCCTGCATCAGGCTCTCTGCTCAGCGGGGAGCCTGCTTCTCCCTCTCTCTGCCTGCCTCTCTGCCTACTTCTGATCTCTGTCTGTCAAATAAATAAATAAAATCTTAAAAAAAAAAGAATAAATGGTTCTAAGGTGGCATTTCTACTCCAACACCAAAAAGTATAGTTTATTCATTTTATCAAATATGACAATACTAAATTCAGTAAAAATTTTTAAAATGTACACATGTACAGAATGGGCACACACATACACTTACAGATCTTAATCAATTTACCAACTTTGTTTTAACTCTTCCGTGTCTTAACATGCTCATCTATAAAATGAGGATAATAATAGTACCTATCTCAATGGGTTGTTGTAAAACTTAAGTAAGCTAATACTCATAAATTAGTACAATCTCTAGCACACAATAAAATTCAGTAAGTGTTTTCTATTCTTATTGTCATCATGTTATTATAAATTCAAAGTAATAGACATGTTAAGTTGTGAATAAAGTATATTTTTATAACTATCTTCAGAACAAATACAATTACTTTACTTAAGTTATTCTACTAAAAATGTCTTTTTAGCCCATGCATTCAGACCTTAAGCAAGGCTTAAGTCTAAATTTTCTAAACAAAAAAATTGTACCTATAAGTAGCTTTAACCTGACAGAACATTCAGTTGCTTCAACCGCCACAGCCTTCAAAGTTTTTGGAGTGCTGTGCAACTCTTCTGTTTTCCAGATGACTAGATAGTTTGGGTAGGTTTTACTTAGACATTGCAACATTGTAAGTAGAAAGGAATTTAGAGAGGAAGTGTCTATTGCTAATTAGGGGTAGAACAACAGAGGTATAAATTTCTCTTTAAATTTAGCTAAGCTAGAGGCACTTGGGTGGCTCAGTGGGTTAAAGCCTCTGCCTTCAGCTCAGGTCATGATCCCAGGGTCCTGGGATTGAGCCTTGCATTGGGCTCTCTGCTCAGCGGGGAGCCTGCTTCCTTTCCTCTCTCTCTCTCTCTGCGTGCCTCTCTGCCTACTTGTAATCTCTATCAAATAAATAAATAAAATCTTAAAAAAAAATTTAGCTAAGCTTTCCTGAAAGATAATACAGGAATATTTACTATCATTCTTCACTACATTCATATTAATTAATATTATTATCAGGTGTCAGTCAAAAATATGCAATCACTATTTTGTCCTGATAGTAAAATATTTAAGTATTGTATATGGGCGTTATGGGGAGGGGAGGGAAAGTATTGGTTAATTTGGGTTATTACAGTGCTAATTCACTATAGGACTCAAGAAACATTTTTTCCAGGGGCACCTGGGTGGCTCAGAGGGTTAAAGACTCTTGCCTTCGGCTCAGGTCATGATCCCACCAGGGTCCTGGGATCGAGCCCCACATCGGGCTCTCTGCTTGCCGGGGGGCCTGCTTCCCTTTCTCTTGATCTGCCTGCCTCTCTGCCTACTTGTGATCTCTGTCTGTCAAATAAATAAATAATAAAATCTTAAAAAAAAAAAAAAAAGAAACATTTTTCCAGCTAATCTCATATTAGATTCTTATAATAGTTTGCATATAGCCTCTGATCGTATTTCTTGGTTCTTTAGACTAATAAGATTAAGGAAACTATTATTAAAAGTTAATTCTATGTCTTAGAGCATTTTTGCAAATTAAGGAAATCAAAAGTGAAATCACCTCTAGATCTTTAATAATATCATGTAGTTGTGAATCAGCAGTGATAACAGATGTTACAGGTGAATATATATTTAATTCACTTGACTTTGATATATGTTTTCTTCTCTCTTTATTTGTTTCAGACATTTTTGTCTTAGGTGTCTGGAATAAAGCAGGTTCTATGGCATTAGTAGGCAAAAGGTCTATAAGAGAAAAGGCATTTTCAAAACACAAGTTTTCTTCTTTATGTGAATATACATGTAGGTTTTCCATTTGTGTTCTAATGTTAGAAATCACAGAATTTGAAAAATCTGGCAAAAAATCTGAGGTAGACATCTTTTCTTGATTCGCAGGACTGCTGTTACATATTCCTTCAATATCTACTTTATACTTAATTTCATCTTGCACTTTCCTGTCTTTTGTCATTTTTAATGCCAGTCCATTGGCATCTAATTTTGACCGAGTATGGTAGACTTTCCAATGTTTCTTCAATTTCCTGTTTCTCTCCTCAGCTCCATGAGTATTGGTATTTGATGAATCAATTCCATAAACTTTTAAGTCATACTTCAAGGACAAAAAAGAGCTTAGGTAGCCTTTTCCAGAACCCAGGTCAATTACCTAAAGTAAGAAAAACAGAATGAAATAAGTATTTTAGTCAGATGAGAACAGAAAGCATTCTCAGTATCTTTTTTAAAAGCAAGTAAAGAAATGGTCGTAAAATTTATACAACCTGTTATGTTTTTTAATTTTTTGATTCCTATTAAAAACCAACCATTTTCATCATTTTTATTAGACATTTTAAAAGAGATTCTAGACAGTATAATAAATCAAGGAAAAGATGTAGAAGATATAAATATGGGGAAAAAAACTGTCTTTCTTCATAGATGACATGATTTGCATCTGCAGAAAATCTAAAGAAATATACAAAATTAACAGAACTAGCAAGTGAATTTAGCAATGTGTCAGGATACAGGATTGTTAGAAATTAATAATGAAACATCAGAACATATACAATACAGTAGCAAAGAACAATGAGAAAATAAAATTTAAAACCAAGTGAATTAAAATAGCAAGAAAATAGAATATCTAAGAATAAATTTAATGAAGGTTCTTCAAGGCCTATTCACTGAAAACTATAAAATCAGAGAAAAAATTGAAAGATCTAAATAAAGATACACCATGCTCACGAAATGGCAGACTCAAAATGAAGATGCCCGAAATGACTTACAGATTCGAAACAATCCTAATCAAAATCCCAGCAGGGTTTCTTTAAAAAATTGACAAGTAGATATTATAGTTTATATGAAAAGGCAGCATACCCAGAATAACCAAAACAATTTTGAAAAAGAATAAGGTTAGAAGATTCACCCTGATTTAGGAATTAATATAAAACTGCACTAACAAAAACAGCATAGTGCTGGTATAAAAACAGATAAGTAAATCAACAGAAAAGAACAGCATTTGGAAATAGACCCAAACTTATATAATTAACTGATTTTTGACAAAATGGCTAAAGTAATCCAATAGAGAAGATAATCTTTTTACCAAATGATGCTAGTATAATGGATGTCTGTCCAGGAAAAAAGTGAACTTTGCCTGTCACACAGCAAAAACAAAACTTAGTTAAAAGTGTATCACATATCTTAATATCATAGTAAAAACTATTAAATTCTGGAAGAAAGCATGAGAACATCTTTGTGACACTGAACGGGCAAAGATTTCTTATGTAGGACACAAAGTATTTGCTACAAAAGAACTAATTGAAAAAATGGACTTAATTAAAATTAAAAATTTTGCTATTAAAAATAGTTAAAAAAAATAAATATCAGGCCACATCGGTGGCTCAGTCGTTAAGTGTCTGCCTTGGACTCAAGTCATGATCTCAGAGTCCTGGGATCGAGTCCCATGTCCGGCTCCTTGCTCATCAGGGAGCCTGCTTCTCCCTCTCTCTCTGCCTGCTGCTCCCCCTGCTTGTGCTCTCTCTCAATCTGTCAAATAAATCTTAAAAAAAAAAAAAAAAAAAAGAAATATTTGTAAAACATATATCTGACCAATGGTTTGTACGCAGAACATATAAAAAATTCTTACAATTCAAAAATAAGATAAGTGGTGGGGGGGGGGCGCCTGGGTGGCTCAGTGGGTTAAGCCGCTGCCTTCGGCTCAGGTCATGATCTCAGGGTCCTGGGATCGAGTTCCGCATCGGGTTCTCTGCTCGGCAGAGATCTTGCTTCCCTCTCTCTCTCTCTGCCTGCCTCTCCATCTACTTGTGATCTCTCTCTGTCAAATAAATAAATAAAATCTTTAAAAAAAAAAAAAAAAGATAAGTGGAGCGCTTGGGTGGCTCAGTGGGTTAAAGCCTCTGCCTTTGGCTCAGGTCATGATCCCAGCGTCCTAGAATCAGCCGGCATCAGGCTCTCTGCTCGGCGGGGAGCCTGCTTCCCCCCCCCCCCTTCTGTCTGTCTCTCTGCCTACTTGTGACCTCTATCTGATAAATAAATAAAATCTTAAGAAAAAAAAAGATAAGTAAACTTAAAAACTGGCAAAATATTTGAATGCACACTTCACAAAAGAAGATAGACAAATGGCCAATACGAAAAGGAGCCCGAAATCACTAGTCATCAGGGAAATGCAAATTAAAATCATAATGAGAGGTACACAAATGTAAAGTGGTACAGGCACTTTGAAAAACACTGGGTAGCTTATCATAAAGTTAAAACATACACCTATTATATGACCTACAAATCCCATTTCAGGCTCTTTGCCAAAGATAAATGAAAACATGTCCACACAACATCTTGTATGTGAATATTCATAGCAGCTAAAAAAAAAAAAAGAATGGTAACATCGCAAATGTCCACTAACTTGTAAATGGCAAAACAAATTATGGTATATCTATACCATGGCATAAAGAAAAACAAAGAGTAAATACAACATTGATGACTCTCAAAAGTTATATGCTGGAGGAAACAAATCAAACACAAAAGTCCTCATCCTGGGGCGCATGGGTGGCTCAGTTGTTAAGCGTCTACCTTGGGCTCGAGTCATGATCCCAGTTTCCTGGGACTGAACCCCATACTGGGCTCTCTGCTTGGTGGGAAGCCTGCTTCTCCCTCTCCCACTCCCCCTGCTTGTGTTCCTGCTCTTGCTCTCTCTCTGTCAAATAAATAAAATCTTAAAAGAAAAAAAAGTCTTCATCCTATTTGATTCCATCTATATGATATTCTAGAAAATTCATAACTACAAGTTGGTCAGGGGTGCCTGGCTGGTTCAGTCGATAGTGCATATGACTCTTGATCTCAGGGTTGTGAGTTTGAGTTGTGAGTTTGTGAGTTGTGAGTTGTGAGTTTGAGCCCCATGTTGTGGATAGAGTTTATGTCAAAACAAAACAAAACACAACTACAAGCAGGTCAGCAGTTGCCTGAGAGTGGAAAAAGAAATAACTTGCAGAAGGGCATAAAGAAACTTTTTATGGTGGCAAGTATTTTTATTATGGTGGTGACTACACAATTGCACATACCAAATTCACCAAAATGTACATCTAGAACTGGCGAATATATAAATTATACCTCAATAAAACTAAAAATAAAATATTACAAGATTACAAGAAATCAAGATTGTTACTGTACTGGCATATCATTTCATAAGAAATAAACGAACAATTACAGGAATACCATCATAAAAATCAGCATCTAATCTTTGGTCTATCCTAAAATCAGTTAAACACTGATGTAAGTATGAGCCACTCAAGGAAACATATATTTGAAGTAATGCCATTAATTAAATCCTCAAAAATTTCAGAGTCTTACAATTTAAGCAGTTTGTAGGTAAGACTCCATTACATAATTCCCATAAATAAGTTTACAAAGAATTCCCTCTGCCCTTTTTAATGTTTATTTCTGGGGTAGGTTTATGGGAAATACAGGAGCATTATATATCTTGATTTTAAGGAATTACAATCTAACTGAAGATACCAAACCCATATTCAGGAATACAACCATACAATAGAAACTATTAGTCAGTTCTCCCCTATCTGAATCTCCAAAGAAAGCAAAGCTCTCTCTTCCTTTCCTTCTATGAAACACACTTACTGATACTGATGACAACCTTCAAGTCAGCAACCAGTGGGTTGTTTATAAGCACCAGCACATTTGTTCCTACCAGTGAAAATGTTTTCTTACCAAGAGGTAACTGATTTTGTTCCTGTATCTGTTTATGGCAATTCCACTTGTGAATCAAGAATATGCTGGCTGCAAGTAACAGAACATCAAGTTTTGAACAATGAAGAAAATTCACTTCACTTAAGAAATCTGGTGGTACAGTGGCTGAACCATTCAGAGGCTCAACCACATACAGCCTTTGGGACATCTTATTTGTATCTTCTCCGGTTGTAAGATGGCTGTGGAAACTCTAAGAATCATGTCTTCACAATATTGTATCTAAAAACCTTTTTAGTAATGGGTGAATTTTCCTAGGAAATCTGTCAGCTGACTTACACTCCTATTTTATTAATCCAAGTTGACTTTTATACCCCTCCAGACTGGTCTTTTAGGAGCATATGTCATGTGAGCAACCCAATGAAAACCTCTCTGCAATTTGGTACCATAAACTGTACAACTTTTTGCCTTCAAACTATCTGGTCTGAGTAGCAAAATCTCCACCATCCTGATCTCTTGTCCTTTACTCAGAGTAGGCTTGTCCTTTCTGATCACCTTACGGGATTGAAAAGAAAGGATTTTCCAGTCCAATGCCTGGTGGGAGGTATCTTCCTAGTCTCCTAATTCTGTTTAGGAGACTTTACCACAGAAAAATTGTTACACATAGAGATGACATTTCTTAACACTATTAGTATGGTAATACACTTCATATAGAAGAGTTATATATTTTTTCGAGTCTGCCTTTTTTTAATAAAAATTGTATTTAAGGCATACAACATGATGTTTTGATATACATAATGAAATGATTACTACAGACAAGCTAATTAAAATAGCCATCCCTTCACACAGTTACATTTTTTTGGTTTTTAAATAAGGAGATTCACAGTATCTTTTTTTATATTAGTTTTAAAGGTAGAATTTAGTGATTCATCAGCTGTGTATAACACGCAGTGCTCATGACATCAGGTGCCCTCCTTACTCCCCATCACCCAGTTCCCTGCCCCCGCCACCTTCAGCAACCCTCGGTTTGCTTCCTAGAGTTCAGCATCTAGAAGAGTTATATTTTGTTGTATGACCTAGAGATCTAATTACCACTCTAGGTTAATGACTTCCAAATTTACAATTCTAGTATGAAATTCTCCCATGAACTTCATATTCATATAACCAAAGTCTACTAAACATTTCCACTGGAATACCTAATAGAAGTCTCAAATTTAATATTTTCAAAACCAAGTTCTTGATATTATCTGTAAAACCTGCTCTTCCCATAATATTCTCCATCATAGTTGATGATATCTCCATACTTACTTCCAGGTGGAAATTATGACGCCTTTCTTTCTCTCATACCTTCCACGTGAACTTTGAGCAAATCCATAATCTTAGCAACTGCCCCTAAGCCTGCCTTACTGCAACGACCTCCTCAGTAGTCTCCCTGCTCCTTTCCCTTAAGTCTATACTCAAGAGAACAAAACAAAGTCTGATCATAACACTCCTCTTAGCAAAATCTCTCATCAACTCTTTCATCTTATCTCTTCCTTACTAACCTCCTTTGTTATTGGGATTTATGCCTTAACTCTGAAAATTCTTTACGTGCTCAAGCAGGAACCAATTTCTGGAGAGAACCAGTCTGAATGTCTAAAAAGACTATGGTTAAGAAGGGCAAAGACAGTGAAAATATCTGCTTTGTAACAGCCCTCAACACAGCAACCAGAGTGATCCAGTGTGTCCAACGGTTTCTCACCTCATCAGGATAAAAGCCCGAAAAATCACAATGGCCTCTGAGACTCTACAATTTTATGAACTGCCTTCTACCACTCCAACCCCAGCTCTTACTACTTTGCCCTTAATCTCTCTACTGGAGCTCACCTGGCTTTCAGGCTCTTTCAAGAACACACCAGACATATTCCTACTGTAGGGCCACTGAGCATGTTATCCCTTCTATCTGAAAAGTTTTCTGTCCAGATATTCTAATGGGTAATTCTTACCTCCTGAAGGAAGCCTTAATTCAAATGAGTTTAAAATGAGCTCTTATTTGTTCCTTCCTAATCAAAAACTTTAATCTCCCATCTCTGAATTAGACTTCCTTTTGCTTTTTACTTTATCTCTTTAAATTACATCAACACATACAAAAATATACACTTTTTAAAAAAAGATTTTATTTATTTATTTGACAGAGAGAAAGATCACAAGTAGGCAGAGAGGCAGGCAGAGAGAGAGGGGGGAAGCAGACTCCTTGCTGAGCAGAGAGCCCAATGCAGGACTTGATCCCAGGCCCCTGAGATCACGACCTGAGTCAAAGGCAGAGGCTTAACTCACTGAGCCACCCAGGCACGCCCCCAAAAATATACTTACAATCAATTTATTATCTGTTTCTCCCCACTAGAATGTAAATGCCATGGGGCAAAGATATCATTCGTTTTGTTCACTACTCCATCCTCAGTATCTATAACGTTGCCTGACACATGGTAGGACCTAATGAAATATCTATTAAAGTATGCATGTATGCAGGTATGAATGAATAAACACATTTTAGAAATAAAAATTAAGAAGACTTGGTAATGTGAGTGAGAGAGGCAAAAGTTTTTGGCAAACAGGGAGCAATGTGGCTGAGGCAAAGATGAATTCTGTTTTGTTTTCTTCTCTGGCGTCTATGGTCACTAGTAAAGTTAGGTATTTCAGAATCTGGATTTCCATCTATCCCCATGAAATCTGTATTTATTAAACCTGCATTTTAAAAGTAAAAGCTGTACATATACAATAGATCTTAAACTTTACTATTGTGAGAATTAAATATTGCTATAAAGTGATTTCAAGAGAAAGACTTTGTAAGTCTGTAACTTAGGTTATTTCATTCCCTAAGAACAGGACTTAGTGCTATAATAGAGTCCCCTGAAAGCAGGTCTAACATGATACATTAAAGTATTTCAAAATTTTTTTCTCTACACTTTAGAAATACAATAATCTGTTGTATGAATTTAAAGTTATTTATTATATAATAGTTCATATAAATAAAGAATAAATGTAGTTTAAATGTAAAGTTATGAAGCACAACAATAAATAGCACTTATCTTAGTTTGGGTTATCATAGAGCAGATTTTTTTTCTTTCTTTCTTTTAAAAAAAAGATTATTTATTTATTTGAGAGAGAGAGAGAGAGAGAGAGATCACAAGTAGGCAGAGAGAGAGGGGAAGCAAGCTCTCTGCTGAGCAGCGAGCCCGATGAGGGACTCCATCCTAGGACCCTGAGATCATGGCCCGAGCGGAAGGCAGAGGCACAACCCACTGAGCCACTCAGGTGCCCCCACAGAGCAGATTCTACCACAAAGATTTAAGTATAAGCCAATTATTTGGGAGGGAAGTGGAGAGCTGAAAAGGAGAAAGGAAGGCAGCCCAATAAAAGCTGTGCTATTGGGGCACCTGGGTGGCTCAGTGGGTTAAAGCCTCTGCCTTCGGCTCAGGTCATAGTCCCAGGGTCCTGGGATGGAACCCCACATCGGGCTCTCTGCTTAGCAGGGAGCCTGCTCTCCCCCCTTTCTGCCTGCCTCTCTGCCTACTTGTGATCTCTGTCAAATAAATAAATAAATAAAATCTAAAAAAGAAAAAAAAAAAGCTGTGCCATTAAGAAAAATACCACTGTAGAAGCTAGCATACAACACATACCTCAGAATCATCCTACCTGAAATATCAAGGAGTTGATGTATTTGTATACCAACTTTCATCAATCATTAATTCAGGGCTGTTCAAAGGGAAGAGTTAATATCCAGAACCTATAGACAAGTAATGCTTTGCTTTGGCAGCCAGAAAAAACCCACAGGGGAAAATGCAGATACTGTCAGGTAGAAGGTAGGCTGGCATACCATGAAATGTCAGAGAATATTTGGGTTAGCATCCAATAGTATCTGCTATAACAATGAACTCACCAGCCATCCTACAAATGAAAATATGAGTATTTCCACTGCACATACCTGTTTTCCTTCCACATCTCATCTCACTGCTTTCTCAGCCAGAAGTAACAACTATTCCCAAATTATGATTCCCTTGCTTCTTTATGAGCTGTTTTGCATGCATTTTTTTTTGCATTAAGAATATACCATTATTTTGCTTAAAGGCTTTAAAAAATGGTATCATAAAATATGTAGTCCTCTATAAACTGTTTAGTTTTTCACTCAATTTTATGTTTCTAATATCCATCCGTGTAATCTCCCTAGTTTATTACTATAAACTATAAACTAGTGCCTATATAATTGCCCCTTTTACTCCAGGTGAGTATCACTACCATGGTGAGCCTGTTACTGATCCAGATAGGTACCGCTAGGTATGATACGCTAAAGAAAAGGTTGAAAATTACTGCCTTAGCTCTTGCCTCTAGCCATTAACCTAGAGATCTATGCTGCCACAAGTGGTTTTGCATGCCTAGCCCAAGCTGTGATAGTTTTCTAATCATCCTCAAACTCTCCACAAGTCTGGAAGAATCCACAGAAAATATTCTAATGCCTAACAGAAATTGAAGGAGGGAAGATTCTCCACTACCCCCACAGATGTTCTTGTAGAGATAAGAAAAATAATTTATTATTTTTACAAGCCAGGGATAAGAAAAGTAACTCACTATTTTTATAGGTCAATATAGGCAATCTTTGATTTTATTTTAATATCTGTTTTTAGACATTACTGTTTCACAAAGGTTACTTTTCACAACAGGAATGCACTGTGATTCTGACACCGTGAAAGAATTCTAATCTTAAAACATAGTTTCTTTGTGTTACTATAATGAGGCAGGTACCCCAGACCACAGCTTGGTAACCCAGGTTCTGAGAACACCCAGTGGCAAACCATTTTGCAGAATGTCATTACCATAATGTTGCTTCAAGATGGAAACTTAGTGAATATAATTTAAAAGAGTAAAACTGGTGGCAAAACGTGAATAGTCATACCTTATTTTCAGTATAAATTTTTTATACTCACACTGTACTGGGAAATGAGAGCACATATTTGAAGTGTCAGACATAACTAACATTAGCTATTATTTAATAACATTTAAAGGCTAGACAATGATCATAGATAAGAATGTAAATGATACCCAAAAAAAGGCACTAATTTTAACACCTGAAAATACAAAGAAATTCTCTTACCTGCTTTATCCCATAGTAATCAGCAATACTGCTGATCAGCTCTGACATAGCCTGAACTTCATGAGATTTTTTCAAATTCATAAATTCATCTGGTTTTACATTTTCACCTGAACAAAAGTAAAACAAAATTAAAATACTGCTATTAAAGAAACAAATGTAATAAAAAATCATCAGTTAATGTTCATGTTTTCTGTAATTACATATGAAAATAATATAGAGATTCCACTGTGTCTGCATGGTAGTCTCCATTTATCTGCTATGAATCAAAATTTGAATTAAGAACATAAATAAGAAGACCCATAGAACATTATGTAAACATTAAACATTATGTTAAGAAAAAAATGTTCCTTGAGGGGTGCCTCAAGGTTAAGTGTCTGCCTTTGGCTTAGATCATGATCCTGGGGTCCTGGGATTGAGCCCTACATCCCGCTCCCTGCTCAGCAGGAAGCCTGCTTCTCCTTCTCCCTGCTCTCCCACTTGAGCTCTCTCTTACTATCTCTCTCTCTCAAATAAGTAAAATCTTAAAAAAACAAAATAAAAAATAAAAATGTACCTTGACACACAAAATACCCCCAATTAATTACAAAGGAAAAGACTGATAACGACTAAAATGTAGGAAAAAAAAATGTGGAGATCTGTAACTAAGTAGTTCTATACAACACAATGCATAAGAAAACCTACTTATCTAAGTATAAGCCAATCTAGCAGTGCTCATGATAGAAAAGCACTGACAGAATAAACTAAGAACATGTTGGAAAGAATACATGAATATATATGAACAGTATATTGCTTCTAATAACTAAAAAAACATACATACACACTTACCAGTTCTCTGTTTTTTATTTCCTTGAAGGGCTGTACGTAACTGTTCAAAAGGAGTACATATTCCCAAGTTTTGTACAGAGTAATATCTCACAGCCAGAGTAAAGGCTTCCACACTCACCAGCTTCTGGGAAGTTTCACAAAATATTTTGGGAAAATTAGTAATACCTAAAAAGATCAGGATAAAAAGATAAATGTTAGCAATAACTAGTTAACGCTAATTTGTGTGAGAGTTAAAAAAAAATAAATGAAAAACACTGGATCTTTAGAACAAACTACAATATTTTAATTTTGTTTGAATTTTGACAATATCTCTAATGGTTCCACTGTATTTGTTAATTCAGCTATTAGTTATTTATAGCACTCAGTTTTCTCTTAATAGTGTACACAATTATATAACTAAACTCCAAATTAAAATTTGGCCTTTTTTTCCTCCCCCCACCCAAAAAAAAGCAGCAGCAAAATAAAAGTTTAAAATCCTGCTACCCTGTAATGTGGTCATTAAATTTATGGATGGTCCTAGCTGACCTACAACTGTGAATTTAAAGGCAATCAGCCTGCACTTCACTGTTATTCCCTGTGCACACTGTGTGTGGAACAATGGCAATGTCCCCAGTGGTAGAGATGTTACTGTAAAAGAGCCCCTGCATCATTCGGACCATGGAGAAATTTTGCATGTGTGTGTGTTCAATGCACTGTCAATACAAGTTTTAAAACTCGTCATGTTAAAATTAGGTGAAAACAGTTCATTTTTTCCCCTAGTCAGTTTTAAGCCATATATTCTGTAAGTTTACTATAGGACCTACTGATGATTCTCACATGCTCACTCCTCAACAAGAGTATGGTCAACTGTCATACTGCAAATATTGGTACCTCTCTGCATGAGCATCCTGTGTCCTATTGAATTCTGGTGTGGACTCATCTCACTGAAGTGAACTATGCCATTTTCAAACAGAAGTTTAAGAGAACTGGAGGATTTGCTATGCCTTCTTTTCCCAGAACTATTAATCACTGAAGCATGTGTCAAGATGGAAGCTGAGTCCTTGAGTGACTACGACATGGACATCACTGATGCCAAACTACCATGGGCTGCAATACAAAGGAAAAATAAACTTCGTTCTTTTTAGTCACTGAGCTTTTAGGTTTTACTGCAGCATAATCTCATCTATTCTAACGGACTAGATGGAAACACATATACACTGATAGAGTTGCTTTTTATTTGCTCAATTTCAATTTTCTATGGCCATTTTTATATATTTATTTAGGAAGCTTACAAAAAGGGCATTCCAATGTGTCCATAGTGGTTCAAATAAATTCTTTGGATGGATTAGTCTAATTAAGTTCATTCACTGAAGAGTCCTTTCAATAATTAAAAAGCCCCAAACATCCAGTGTTTAAATAAAGTATTTAAAATGCTCACCTTATGAAATGAAAGAATGGCACAATCCAGGAAACAACTTTGGTTCTACCAGAGAAACCAAACTATACACTATGAAGTCTATTCTAGCATAGCCGATGTTCCACAGTTACTTATAAAATTATAAAAATTCATTCGAACACAAAGAATAATGATTCTAGCAAAAATAAAAAGAAGAAAATTCATGAAGGCTTACAGAACTCTAAATAAAACCAACATGTTTAAGATAGTATCTTTTAAAGCTACTATCTACTAAGTTGTTGGTGATGTTTACCATGTTAATCAAGAATTGGTAGAGACCTGTAACTTCCATTTCTGAATCAACTAAATAGAAATTTAAGCTACAAAATTACTATAGTGAATTTATTTAAGATATATTTTGTGTATTATAAAGTTCTTTGGATATTTTACAAACTGAATTTATTAGCACAGCCAAAAGTAATAAAATTCACATCAAAATATTTAGGCATGATACAGAGGGGAAAACTCAGTCAACTATTAAGTGAGACTCTCAGGTTTAAGGGCAGTCTCAACATCCCCAAGTTCCAGGGCAGCAATTTCTCAGAGTGTGATAGAATAAGAGTTTTAAATCTCAAAGTGCAGAGGGAATATTATAGTAGTCAGTTATTGGACAATGTTGCCAACAGAAAGAAATGTGATGTTTCTGTTGGAAAAGTAATGGTTCAAATCAACTTAACTATCCTACTGAAAATACTTGAAAAAATCCAAATCCAACCTGATCTAAATGCTGTTTATTTGCTTTTAATTTTACGCCTCACAGAAATTTCAGAGATCTGGATATGTAAATTACAAAGCTATTATCTTTTTAACAATGCTTGCTTTAAAAAAAAAAAAAAGAAAGAAAGAAAGGATAGTGTTCTGATTCAATCCATTAGTTTATGTCATTTAGGGCCACACCAGTTTATTTAGATAGTCTAGAACCTGTGAAAAAAATTTTCTGAATTACCGAAATATAGCCTCTAAACTTTCTTTGTTTTCAAGTGATCTAGCTTGTAATTTCCACTAGCAATTTTTAAAGATTCAGAAAGAGAGAGAAAAGCAGGTCATGTTCTTATCTTTACTTCTACCTATGAAATAGTCTATAAGGAAAGTTATGCGGCAATGGTAACAGTGTATATAGTCTCCTCATAGTGCTTCTCCAAGTACTTGTAGAAGGAGTTTGGGTTTGGCAACTGGCAAAACAGAAACCCCAGTGTTACTCAACCAATATTTACCTAATTACTAGTTAGCTGGATTTTTTTTTTTTTTTAATTCAGGGAAAGCTTTGTTTTTAAATTTGTTGCCACTGCACCAGCATATTAAGTGGCTTGATTATTTTGTAAATATCTCCCCCTACTGGAAGTACCTGTTCTGCTTGATTGCATGCTTTGTCTTTATTTACTCTTATTTTTTGTGCACCCTGGATCACTATTCCACAGAGGTTTCTTGTAACAGGTTAATTGGGAAAGAGAGCGGGGGGGTAAAGGGGCAGGGGAGAAGCTATTTTCTGTAAATATGAGATCAGGATATCTCTAGGTTTCTGTTTTTTTTTTTTTTTTTTTTTTTTAACAGCAGAGATCAATGTACAAGGAAAAATAGAAAAGTTACACATACACATACAGATTATGAAAATCTCAAGGTACAGAAATAAATAATGTTCAAAACTAAAAAATTACAATCAATATATTTATATTTTACATAGTTTATATATTTACATTTTTAAAATTTTCAAAAATAAATGTCTGTTATTTTATTTGAATGTTATCCAGCACCTTAAGGAAGACAGAATACTACTAAGATTCACAATAACTCATTGAAATTATAACTAATATTTATTGTGCATATGCTACATGCCAGGCACCGTGTTCAACAGTTTACATTTAATGGAACAATCTTATGAGGTGATCTCCAGGAAGAAATCAAAACTTAGAGAGGCTACATATTAGCCACATTTGCACAGACACCAAATGGCAAGGCATGTGAACCAAGGCAGTGTTCAGCCCTTGCTTGTAATTCCCAAATTTGGTTATTAGCATGCCACAGCAATAAGGTCAATGGGCAACAAATGAAAACAGGAAAGACAGCAGTCAAGACCGCTAGGCAGTGTATGACTGTCAGAATCAGGTCTGGCAAGAATTCCCTCTGGCAGAGAGATCCATACCTTGTACTATCTTAAGATGGTTCATATTTACTTTGTTCATGTTCTTAATTCTTTCACTTTATTTCCCTCAACACCTCCCACTCTGCCAGAAGTGATTTTAAGGTTTTGAGAAATTTAAAAAGTAATTTTTGCACATAGAACAACTGATGTCTCTGAAAACGACATAAAAAGGCTTTATAATGAGATTTTGTTGTACCTATTTCTAGAAATAAAGCAATGCAACCGCTTCATGCCCAGTTTTAAAGCAACAATACCTTCATATGGCAGGCACTCAGGGGGTGAATGGATGAGTGAAAGCAATTCTTTAATATACTCACTACTGCAGCATCAGCAGCTATACTAGGAGAAACGAATTCTACGATTCTGAGGTAGTAGTGATCACTGAGGCCAGCTGGGAGGACTTTGATAGCACTGCTAAGCCTGTTAGAATAAAATCTCATCTCAGCCCTCATGTCTACAATTACAGGTGAGACAAGAGCGATTTAGAACATTTAGAACATGATACAAGATAAAATATAATTATGTGCTAAATGCTGAGGTTTAACCATGTTACAGGAGTTAGGACAAAGGTCACTATTACTATCACACAGCCTAGAACTGTCCCATGGCTCAGAATGTCATGAAAAATCAACAGTGCCCTCTTTAATAATAATCTTCAAAGGACATGGAAATGTTTTATATTCATTTATACATGCATATCCTACAGATGCCTCTAATTCAAAAGGTTCAAAATTGAAATGCACATTCTCGTGCTCTCCAAAACCTTTCCTTTCCTAGCTTGTTTAATAATGTCCTTACTCAGAGCTGAAGTCTTTATGTTATCTTAAATGCTCCCTGTGCTCTCACTCCACATATCCAGTCACCCATCAATCTTAATGTACAAATGTCTTTCATTGTGGAACTAACCACCATCCTTCCCTGTGCCCCATTATCACTGCCAGAGTTCATACTCTATTAACTCTCACCGGTGCTACTGCAATAGCATCACAGGTGATTTTTTTTTTCTTATTGATAAAACCCCCAGAAGCACAATAAGTGCTCAGAAGTGTTGGCTGAGTTGAACTGAACATGTTTTCTAAAACGGAAATTTACTTATTTTCAATGCAAATGTAACTGACCATTTTAAGGCTATGAGTTCCACGATGATTAACTTAGGCTTCACTTGTTCAGTAAACTTCAATCAAAAGTTAAAGTCTTGGGGCGCCTGGGTGGCTCAGTGGTTAAAGCCTCTGCCTTCAGCTCAGGTCATGATCTCAGGGTCCTGGGATCGAGTCCCGCATCGGGCTCTCTGCTCAGCAGGGAGCCTGCCTCCTCCTCCTCTCTCTCTCTCTCTGCCTGCCTCTCTGCCTACTCGTGATCTGTCAAAAAAAAAAAAAAATCTTAAAAAAAAAAAAAAGTTAAAGTCTTGCTGAACTTGAAAATTATAGGTGGGATGCATTAAACTTTATGAATATCTGAGTATCTCTATAATCCTATCACTTACATAAGGAAGAAAATAATGTATATACTGCTGTTTTTTAAAAAATTAATTTATATCATCCAATTATATGCTAGGAAACTCTGCCTATGCTACTTCAGAATAATTTCAGG